AGTTGGAGGAGGAGGAGGAGGGAGGGGACTGGACCTCCTTGGGGCACCTCCAGCGCGGCCCTGGCGCGCCAGAGGTCCAGCGCAGATCCACGAAGTCTTTGCACACCTCCCAACGTTTCTGCTTACGTCGTCTTTTGTCCTTCCGTCGTCCGTGCTGGTCAACCCGCGGATCATCTCAGGGGGGCGCCGTTTGAGACACCAGTAGTTGGCCTTCAAGGGGGCCCTCGTCGCCACGGCTGGACGCAGCTTGAAAAATGAGGCCGCTTGGACCCCATGAGGGCACTGGAGACCGATTTTGAGGAGGACCCGACGCACGCCTCAAGGACCGGCGGCTTACAGCCCAAGGTATCGTGCTCGCCCACCGTGCCTGGCTAATGGGTCAGAGGCCTCATGAATGTTGGTTGTGAGCTCGCGTTTGGCCTCTCGGGAGCCTCTTGGAAGCAGCTTTGGGCCCTCTTCGGGCCTCCTCCTCCTTCTCTCCTCCTCCTCCTCCTGCCTCCTCCTGCTCCTCCTGCTCCTCCTCCTCCTCCTCCCCCATCCTCCTCTTCTCCTCCTCCTCGTCCTCTCTCCTCTCCTCCTCACTCCTCCTCCTGCTCCCTCCCCATTTTCCCCCATCCTTCCTCCTCCTCTGCCTCCTCTCCGCCTCCTCACACTCCTCCTCCTCCTCCCTCCTCTCCATACCTCCTCCCCTCCTCCTCCCCCTCCTGTCCTCCTCCGCCTCCTCCTCCTCCTCCTCCTCCTCCTCCTCCTCTGCTTCCTCGCCCTCCTCCTACTCCTCCTCCTCCTCCTCCTCCTCCTCCTCCCCCTCCTCCTCCTCCTTCTCCTCCTCCTCCTCCCCCTCCTCCTCCTCCCCTCTTGGGGGCTGTTTGGGGAGCTCCCGGGGCCTGCTTGGCGCCTCTTCGAGGCCTCTTGGCGCCTCATGGGGGCCTCTTGGGGTGGTCTGGGGGCCTCGCGTGGGCGTCTGGTCGCCGAGACCTTGACTTTTCACACTCGGGGGCCACGATCCTCGTAGTTTATATAGATTTCAATTGCGCACGATGCATACATCGATACTGTGACGGGGAATGCATACATCGATACTGGGACCGCCAAGGGGTGTGTGCCTCGGATTGCGGAGAATATTCCGACTCGAAGGACCGGTTGGAGACTGGCTCCACGCTTACAACGGGGTCGTCCAAGGCGATGCTCTGAGTATGATCGCACTGAACAATGTTGTCATATGCATTTTGGAGGCTGCGAGTGCCCACAACGAGGTTGAAGATTTCAATTGCGCAACCAAAACAGTACCAACAACCATTTCAAGTTCAAATGTAGCTGCAGGAGAAGTGCGCACGGCATGGCTTACACCACGTGGGTTTCACGGATCGTTTGCCGATGGTTGGCAGCGTTTAAGTTTAGATCGTAGCCAGGGTTTGCAGGACCGCCTTCCGTTCGCGCGAGGCCGCCGACCCCGAAATGTAGGGTTCGCTCCCGCCGTTCAACTACCCGCTTTTGGAGGCCTGCGCTGGCCTCCGCGGGGGGACTTCACAGCGAACCATCACGGGGGACCATCACAGGGGAGGTTCGGAGAGCCCCTGCGGTGGCTTTGAAGTTTCTTGGGCGTCTTTTGGGCGGCAGTTCGCGTTCCCTGGTCGGGGTTTCCGCGGGGCTCTCATGGGCCGTATAGGTTGTCTTTGGGGGCCTTCGGCCGATTAGGAAACATCTTAGGAACCGTTGGGCCGTCTTGGAGTCTGGGGGCGCCAGGCCCCACGCCGGCCACGTCAGGGCTATGCCTGCGCGCTGCTCCCGCCGCGTCATATCCAATATTCGCGGCGATTCGTCCCTCACGAAACCACTCTCCACCGTATCCTGCGGTCATGGCTCAAATGTTATTACTGTAGCGGGGAGGGTCCTCGCACTTACTGGGACTTATCCTCTCGATAGAACGCTTACGTTCATCCTGGGGCGCGATCTCATTCGCCCTTTCCGCGGGGCTCTCATGGGCTGTATAGGTTGTCTTTGGGGGCCTTCGGCCGATTAGGAAACATCTTAGGAACCGTTGGGCCGTCTTGGAGTCTGGGGGCGCCAGGCCCCACGCCGGCTACGTCAGGGCTATACCTGCGCGCTGCTCCCGCCGCGTCATATCCAATATTCGCGGCGATTCGTCCCTCACGAAACCACTCTCCACCGTATCCTGCGGTCATGGCTCAAATGTTATTGCTGTAGCGGGGAGGGTCCTCGCACTTACTGGGACTTATCCTCTCGATAGAACGCTTACGTTCATCCTGGGGCGCGATCTCATTCGCCCTTGCACCCTCGCGTTCATAAGCATGCCAGGCGCGGGCGATTACGTTCCGCCCAAGCAGTACATGCGCGTCATGAAGGACATGTGGGACGCGGTTGACGGACACTTCGACCCAAACTACGTGCTCACGAAGAGCGGGCACGACCTCGTGCAACACTACTCCATTAAGGCTTCGCACCCCGAGATGCCGTACGCAATGCACTTCCTGTCGATGATGTGCGCGCTGTCCAACGGGGCGAAGATTGCACTGTTCCCTTCGTCGGACAGTCCACTCTTTATCTTCTTCCTTAACATTAACTATGCTCAAACACGGAAGAGTTCGATCACGGGCAATGCAGACGGGTTCGGCGACCAGATCGACAAACACGTGTTGAAGGTAGTTGAAAAGATGTGGGATGATCTGAAGAGCGCGGATGACGAGGAAGAGGAAAATAACGTCGCTCCCAAAATCGTCTCTTCAGTGCTGCACTCAGCGACGCCAGCTGAGTTCTTTCACCGCATGGCTGGCGACTTCCAGCAATTGCAGAACGCCGACAAAATGGATCACGACGAACTGAAGCGCAGGCATTTCTTCGGCGTGCTTGTGAACTTGGACGAAGCGTACGACCTACTCCAAGCCTTCGGGCTTTTGTCCGACGAGCAGAAGGCGTCCAGCAAGGGCGGGAGGAACGCCGTCAACCCGCACCAGTCTGCTTTCAACAAGTTAGCGCAGTACGGCCAGGCGTCCCGGTCGACGAAGTCGTGCGGGTCCTACGGCGCCGCGGCAGCGCCGACGGTGTCTGTCGGCATGACCGGGAACATGCACCCCAGCCAGTACGTGCCCATGGAGAGGGGGGAGTCTGGCAGCCATTTCGCCCACACGAAGGAGCGGCTCATGGTAGCGACAGGCCGGCCGGTGCAGCCGCACGAAGCGCTCCCCGCGGACTTCGCCCCCCCGACCGGCCACTCGTCTTGGACGTGGGCCCCCCTGCTGCCAGACATCGCGGACGCACTCGGATTGGGGGAGGGGGCGGCGAGTCCCGAGGCCGCGGAGAGGCTGTGGGAACGTCCGACTGATGGCCTACCCGCGCTGGATGCCGCGGCAGAAGTCGACGAGCGGTTCCGCCCAGACGCGAACGGCTACGTGGTCACGCTGCCAGACGGCGTGGAGACGAGAGTGCGCTTCCGCTTGGCATCTGACGCAACGTCGGGTTTCGAGGCAGAATGGCGGATCGCCAACCGCAGCTTTCCCACTCCTGCCGCGTACGAGTTGCAGAAGTGCTTCGCCCGCGTCCTCACGTATTTCAACGAGCCCCACCGCGTCCTCACCCTGACCGACCGGGCGGACGTTACATTCAAGTCGTACATGGGCTGCTTCAACGTCCAGGCGGCGGTGTAGATTGCTGGGGGCTGTACCCTAGGGCCTACTACCGACCCTAGGTTTGCCTGGGGTAGGCCCTACTGAAGGCCCTAGGCATCCCTAGGGTAGGCCCTACTGACGGCCCTAGGCTTCCCAAGGGTAGGCCCTACTGACCCTCCCATGGTAGGCCTAGGGGTAGGCCCTAGGGGTAGGCCTAGGGTATGGGGGTAGGCCCTAGGGGTAGGCCCTCCCTGGGCAATCTATATGCAGGCGGCGACGAAGCGCGACAAGAAGGACATCGAGGGCGCCGCGCGCATGGGCTGCGCGCCGTGGCAACTGGGACAGATCGCAGGGGCCCTGTGCGTATTCGACATCTTCCACGGCCGCTACGACGAGACCCCAGTGTACCAGGGCAGGACCATCCAGGTTATGCCCGAGCACATTAAGCGGGCCGCTAGCTTACTGTCCGCGGTGGACCGCCTCAAAGCGATCGCGGCGGGCGGAGACGCAGCGGCGACTTGCCCTCCCGGCATGGACGAGGCCGCGATGATGAGGCTCCAGATGGAGAGTTACATCGGCACGGAGGGGGCCCCGCAGCCCTTCGACGGCCTGTGGTCCCAGAACGCCTTCGCAGGCGACGCGGCGACGCCTAGCGGCAACCATCTTGAGGCATCTGCAGTGGAGGAGGAGGAGGCTGAGGAGGAGGCTGCCCGGGCATTGGGGCTCGACGGGACGCCGCAGGACGAACCGCGCGGCGCCGCCGCGCTGGGCAGCGGCGCCGGCGCAGACGATGGCGGCTTTCGCCAGCGCCTCGCGGCAGATGGGCCCGAGGGCGCGGGGGTCGGCGCGCGGGCTGACGTTCCGGGCGCAGAGGAACTCCAGGGTGCAGGTGACTTGGCTGCCGCCCAGGCGGCCCCTGCGAGCTCCACTCGCGACGCCTTGCTCACGATGAAGGACGTCCGGTCCATTGAATACGGGTACGGACTCCAGGGATCTTCGGTGCAGGAGACGTTGCTCGCGCCTCAGTGGACGGACCGCGCCGTGATGCAGAAAACGCTCCTCGTTGGGACCCCAGTGATTGACCGCAGGTCTGCCGCGCAACGCATCATGACTTCCCGTGCGGGTGGGGGGAGACGCAAGACCATTGATGCAGAGAGATGGGCGCGCGTCATGAAGGCAGGCCTCGCGGGTTGCTCCATTGCCCAGTTTGACGAAGAGGGGTGCAAAGTGAAAATGACTCCAGTTCCAGATGACGTGGCCTTGCGCCACAAGTACCACAATGAGCTCATGACCTTGTGCGGCATTACGCTCCGCCAACTGGTGGAAGCCATGCAGTCCGCCAAGAAGGCAGCCGAGCAGCGCGGCCGGGCCGGCCCGAGAGAGCCTCATCCAAATAAGAAGGCCAACAGGGCGGTGGCTGAGCGGAGTCGCAGCCGTTCGCGGCAGCAGGATGCCCGCGAGCGCAGTTGAGTCCAGGGCGCGGACGCGAGGTCCATCGGATGCTGCCAGCCTTGCCTCGCAGCGCTGGGTCTGATCCAGCCCGAACAACGTCGCTTCGTGCTTGGCCCAGCCGCTCTTACCTTGGACCCTAGTGACCTCGCAGCCCTGGCTTATTTTTGCTGCTCGCTGCAGCAGACGCGCTCGAGTTGTAGGGCAATCCACGGCTCGCGCGAGTTGAATTCCAGCTTTTCTCATGGCGCACGGCTTCAGCATTAATTTCCAGCTGCCGCGCTCGCTCCAGAAAGGGGTGCTTCTGGGGCGCATATCAATACAGAGAGGACCGATCGTAAGCAAAAGAAGCGTGCTCGTCGGAGCCCAGTGTCCTCTCTTCCGTTACGGTCATTGAAATACCCAGGTTGCGCGCTGTACCACTTTCGCCGCATGGGATTGACCGACGGCGCGAAATATCCTGCTGTTTCGGATGACGCCCCTGCCATCCCAAGCCCTCCCCCTTTCCCCAGTTAGGCCTTAGGAGTGGGCCTAGGGGTAGGCCTGGGGGTAGGCCCTGGGGCTTGGCCTAGGGTAGGCCTAGGGGTAGGCCTTCGGGGTAGGCCTAGGGGTGGGCCTTCCCCAGGCAAGCTATATGTGCCCCAGCTCCCTTTGAGTCGTCCTCTCCCGAGGTCCCTCCCGGACTGCGAGGAATTTCCTTATGCGCGCCCTGCGGGCCCGCGCGGGTCCGCGCGGGCCCGCGCGAGCGGGGCCCGTCCGCGGCGCAGGGCGTGCATGGGGAAGTTTTCCATGTTCAGACGGGACACAGGGGTGCAAGAGCGATCGGCGGGGCCAGGCGATTCCAGGTGAAGACGCCATGGCAGCGTCGAAGACGTAGCCCCAACAAGCAAGCCTTAACCGAATCGCAATAGCCGTGCAATGCGGATGACATCGCATGCACCGCGATGGCTTGACGTCCGCCATTAAACTGCCCGCTGCGTGAGAGGCCGGCGCTGGCAGACACTTGAAGCCGTCGCGCGTTTTGGGTCAAGCGCCCTTGGGGCGGGGCGGCTTTTGTTTGTTGGCACGGGCTGCCAGGTAGGCATCATCCATGGCGGCGTCGCCCAGCGATCTTCTTTCCGCTGGCGGGCCGCAGCCTGGTTCGGACGAACAGTTGCACGTCGCTCTGCGGGATGCGTTGCGCACGGCGGACGTGCTGGCACTTCTGGGGGATCAGGAGGTCAACGGCATGGCCACTTCCCTCAGCCAGGGTTGGAGGCCTTCGCCGCCATTTCTCGGGGGCGAGACACGCTCGACCGACCTCGTGCACCCGCGACGCGAGTGCCCAGGGTGCAATGAGCCGCGGGCCCTGCAGACGAGCAAGGCGACGTCCGCTCGGATACTTGATTCTGGGAGCGTCGTGGGGAAACGCCACGTCCCCTGGAGGTGTTACACTCAGGGGTGCCCAGAGTACTTGCGGCTGACCTGGCACAACTACGCTACGATTGACGGGAGCCATTGGTTCCGAGGTGCCCCATCCACTCTTCGTTGCTTTATGTTGACAAGCTCGTTCGGCGTGTCCGTGCAATACCTTCTGCAACTGCACGCCCGCTTGCTCCGGGAGCACGTGACTTTCGCCGGGGAAGCGTACGTTGCGCACGACATGGAGAGGCATTCGCCAGACGGGCCTCGCCTACCTGGCTGTGCTCTTCGCCTATACATCAGTGAAGATTGGTTCAAATGGCGGATGTTGCTACGCGTTGAACGCATGTGTGCCGACGGGGACACGTCCGTCGCCTTGGAGCACTTTTGTTTGTCCGCTACCTCAGAGGAGAACGCGCGGACCTTGTGGCCGAAGGCTCAATCACACTTCGAGGCTGCTACCCGAGCGGCGCTGCTGCAGAGTGACCCCGCGCAGGCGAGCAGGCAGGCCATCGACGGCAACCAGAAGATAAAAAGATCTTGCTGCGGAGTGCCGCACCAGGACCGCCAATTGGATGTAGCTCTCGGGAAGGCAATCAGCTTGTCGTGCCGCCGGACACCGAAATTTGGCGCACGTTTTTGCGTCGACCACTTTGAGGCGACCTGCGCTGGGGCCAATTGCCAATATAGCGTCGTTGAGCACAAGGATCCAGAGACTGTGCTGGGAGAGACAGCAGACGAGATTATGTTCAGGGTGTGCGGGGCTGGGGGCAATGACGAGGGGTTCTGGGTGCCAGAGTCCGAAGTGGATCCCCGAGCTGCGATCCAGTATTTCGCGGAGAAAGGCTTGGACGCGCAGCGGAGGATAACAGAGCGGAGGTTGCGGAAGAGGCGGGCGCAGGCTGACGCCCGCGAAGCCGTATCCGCAGTCATGGCCGAAGCGGCGTCGTTCTGGCACCTACTGACGCCGCAGGAGCGAGAGGACACGCTGGCCCTGCACTCTTCCTCAGGAGACTTGGCCGCTAGCTCGTGCGGAACGCACAAGGAAGGGGAGAAGGAGAGACTCCTTTCAGCCCAGACTGCTGGCGTCATGTGCGCATGCACGAGCTCTGGGATCATCACGTCGTTGCGGGAGCTGGTCGGATCAGAATCTTTGTCGCAGCGATATTTTTTCGTTAGTGCGTTGAAATCGTTGTACCCAGAACTGGAGCTTATCGTGCATGATGACGCGTGCCATCTGCACAAATTCAGCGCCTCCCGTGAATCCCACTCAGCCCACGCGGCCGCCATCGCCCCCCCGCGCTTGAAGTACTGCGTGGATGAGTTTCATGCGACGGGCCACACTGACGCATGGTGTCTGGCAAACTGTCACCCAAAGAACCCGTCTCTGGCCGAACTCGTGCAAGGGTTCCGTTCCAGCGTTTGTGAGTTCACGTTTACTTGGTTGAGCCAGTACAAGCACCAGACCAAGCACATGAACCAGTTTGGCTTTTGCTTCTTTGTACTGGAGATGGCAGACGCTCACAATGAACGCGTGCGCGCGGGCAGGACTGACCACCTGCCGAGTGCCCGCAGGGGCGCGTCCTAGCGCCGAAGCATCGCCCCCTGGTGTATGCAGCCAAAAGGATGCAACGCGCGTGGCCTAGCCTTTTGTTGCGTGCTCACCATATCCTTACCTACTACTCGCTGAAAAAGGTATTTCTGGATCCCTAGATCCCACTCTACTTTAAGCGCCTTCCGACTTCAAGTCTCTATGGCAGCTTCCTTCAAGGCTCTAGGTTTCCCCAGGGTAGGTCCCTAGGGTAGGCTTCCCAAGGGTAGGTCCCACTTAAAGCCCTAGGATTCCAAAGTGTAGGCCCCACTGAAGGCCTTAGCCTTCCCAAGGGTAGGCCTTACTGAACCTCCTATGGTAGGTGTAGGGGTAGGCCTAGGGGTAGCCCTGAGGTAGGCCCAGGGGTAGGCCCTGGGCTAGGCCTAGGGGTAGGCCCTAGGGGCAGGCCTGGGGGTAGTAGGCCTAGGGGTAGGCCTTAGGAGTAGTAGGCCCTGGGAGTAGGCCTAGGTAGGCCTGGGGGTAGGACGTAGGGGTGGGACTAAGGTAGGCCTAGGGGTAGGCCTTAGGGGTAGGCCTAGGGTAGGCCTACGAGTAGGCTTTAGGGGTAGGCCTTAAGGGTAGGCCTAGGGTGGGCCCTATAGGGAAGGGGCCTAGGGTAGGCTTTCCCCGGGCAATCTATATGTGCCCCAGCTCCCTTTGAGTCGCCCTCTCCCGATGTCCCCCCCTGACTGCGAGGAATTTCCTTCTGCACGCCCTGCGGGCCCGCGCGGGTCCGCGCGGGCCCGCGCGAGCGGGGCCCGTCCGCGGCGCAGGGCGTGCATGGGGAAATGTTCCACGTCTGGGCGGGGGCAAAGGGGGGTCCAGAGCCGTCCCCAGCGTCCGAGCGATTCCAGGGGACGAAACAACGGCGATATTTACGACATGGCCAACATAACCAATGATAGCTTCCACCGAATGGCAATCGCCGCACAGTGCGCACAGCATTGCTTACACCACGATGGCTTGACGTCCGCCGATCCATTTACAGCGTCTGGAGGATCGCGCTTGAAACCGTTGCACGTTTTCGCTCAACCGCCACGGAGACGGGGCAGCCCGTCCTCCTCCTCCTCCTCCTCCTCCTCCTCCTCCTCCCGTCCTCGTCCGCTTCGTCCTCCTCCTTCGCCTCGTCCTCCTGTCCTCCTCCTTGTCCTCGTCCTCCTCGTCCACCTCCTCCTTCTCCTCCTCCTCCTCCGCCTTCCTCCTCCTCCTCCTCTTCCTCCTCCTCGTTCTCCCTCTGCCTCCTCCTCCTCCTCCTCCTCCTCCTGCTCCTCCTCTCCTGCTCCTGCCTCCTCCTCCTCCCTCCTCCTCCTCCTCTTCCTCCTCCTCCTCATCCTTTTCTTCTCCTCCTCCTGCTCCTCCTCCACCCTTCTCTTCTCCTGAGTCCACCCTGGCGGACCCGGCGGACCCGGCGGACCCGGCGGACCCGGCGGACCCGGCGGACCCGGCGGACCCGGCGGACCCGGCGGACCCGGCGGGCGGACCCGGCGGACCCGGCGGACCCGGCGGACCCGGCGGACCCGGCGGACCCGGCGGACCCGGCGGACCCGGCGGACCCGGCGGACCCGGCGGACCCGGCGGACCCGGCGGACCCGGCGGACCCGGCGGACCCGGCGGACCCGGCGGACCCGGCGGACCCGGGCGGACCCGGCGGACCGCGGCGGACCCGGCGGACCCGGCGGACCCGGCGGACCCGGCGGACCCGGCGGACCCGGCGGACCCGGCGGACCCGGCGGACCCGGCGGACCCGGCGGACCCGGCGGACCCCACACCCAGAGAATCATAAGTCGAGCTGCACCTTCCGCACGGCCCGTGCCGCCGCGGCTCGATGATCCTCAGAACGCGTGTTGGAGCCAATCGTCCAATGGCCCTCGTGCTATCGGTGGGCCTCTACCCCAGATATCCGGCGTCTGGATCTTTCCGAGACACGGGCCCCCGACCTCTCGACCATGCACTTCCCTGGGATCAGTGTCTCGTCCCGAGCCTTTTGTTGACGGTCCCGAGGCCCGGTAAGGGCACCGAGAGGCCGAAAACGACGGAAAGCCTCCGTCTAGGTTTTTTCGAGATGCCCGATGTTTGGGAACGGCAAACACACACGGACACTCAGACATTCAGGCACACGGACACACGGACACACAGATACACGGAGACACACGGAGACACACGGAGACAGACAGAGACACAGAAACAGACAGAGACAGAGACAGAGACAGAGACAGAGACAGAGACAGAGACAGAGACACACACACACACACACACACGCGCACACACACGCGCACACACGCGCACACACGCGCACACACGCGCACACACGCGCACACTTGCACACGCACATATTGGGCGAACGCGTGTCCTGAGTACCACCGATCCGTTCTCTGCAACGCACAGCCTCTCTCCTTCCTCGGCGCCCGGAGTCGGTGCGACCTGCCCGAGACGGGGGCCCCCGGACCTCTCGACCCCTCTCCCTCGGGGGCCAGCTTTCGCCACGAGTCGAGTCGCCACGAGTCCTTGCTGACAGCCCTGGGCCCGAAACCGACCTCCCGAGAGCTGCAGATTGCGAACACAACAGGTCGTCCAGGGTTCCTCGAGCAGCCGGATCTCTGGGCCCCCACTCCCGCCTGCCCCCTGTCCCGTGTCCCCCCCCCCTCCCGTTCCCCAGAAGAAGAGAAGCCGCGTGCACACAAACTGTCGGAGGTCCGCGCGGATTTCCAGGGTGGGCGCTGGGCCCCCCTTCCTGGCGAGCGGAGCGAGCCAGGGGCCCTGCGCCGACCCCAGAAGTCCACGCGGAGCAGCAACTGTTTGCTGCAGGGCGCGCACCTCGTCAGGTTCGGCGTGCGTCCGTGCACGGGTCAAGCGCGGCCGTGCACGACCCTTTTGACACACGTGCGCGCAAGATGTTCCTCCGTTGTTCTCCTGACCTCGCTTGTCTCCCTGGCCCTCTGAGGATAGCACTGGACCGATATTCGAGGTTCAGGTGCAACGTAAGGATGTGAGGCCTCCAGAAGACTTCCCGAAGGACCCCCAGAAGCCTTCCCAAAGGTCCAGCAGGCTCAAAGCCCTTGTGTCCACGGCTCCAGCAGTGGAGGGATGGGCCGAAGGCAACTGGAAACAATCAAATTCCTTACAAAGGGTTCAAGGGAAGGGCGCAAGGCCTCTGAACGTCCCTGTCGAAGCAACCGCAACGGCGCTGGAAACAGAACCTCGCTCAAAGGGGAGGCAGGGCCAGGCTTGACGGAGCACTGGGCTCTTGCTGCTGATCTTGCGTGCGCACCCCAACATAGCCAGCGCCTGCAATGCGTCGTTGGGAAATCGAGGGCCCTCCCCAAGCTCTCGTGGCCCTCCGGTCCATCGAAGAAGGCCGCCCCAGCATCTGGCCGACGAATCTGAGCCGACGGTGCGCAGGCACAGCGAGAGCCATGTCCGCACGCTCTGGCCGGCACGCTCACCAGCCTAACGTGCGGCATGCCACCCAATCTCAGTTGTCCTTTCCGAGCGCCTCCTTCACGAAAGTGGTGGTTGTCTCCACCTGCAGGCGGCTTCCAAATGCCTTGTATCGCTGCACGCAAACACAGTATGGCTGCAGAGCCGCCTGATGCTCTTCAGGCTGTCCCGCGGGCTTCCGGGACACTGGCGCGCATTCCGAACAAGAACTCCGCTCGCTCTGTACAAATATTCAAATCTGTCTCACCGGTTCCCTCGCCCATTCCACATGTCTGCCTCTGGTGACCGCTGCACTAGTGCCCCCCGGTTACCCAGCACTGCTGGCGCGGCTGCGCAACTGCGAAACTCTTTCACCTTGGAGGTCCTCAGCCCAAAGACCGAACTGAGCAGATTCCCCAGACCCACGACGTCGTGATTTTTTCACAACGTCGACCCCCAAAGGTCTGGACCCCTTCCCCGGGACCGGTTTTTCGTCCTGAGTCGTGTTTGGACAGTCATGAGGCCTGGCAAGGGCCCCCGGAGGCCAAAGATAACGAGAAACCTCCCGTCGCGATTTTTTCAAAACGCGAGGGGGTCTGGGTGGGGGGTGCGAGACGACGCCATCGAATCGGCGATGCACGTCTGTCGCAGCCGCATTTCTCCATGCTGCGCCTGGTGCCATCCACCCGCTCATTGGTCCGACGCGCTCGTGGGCCGCGGGCCGGCGAGGCACAAGGCGCGCAGGGGCACGGCCGAGACGATGTACATCCACGTGTGCGGACACGCGCGCAGCCTTCTGTTGCTCCCCTCGCACTGAAGGACCGCCTCCCGGAAATGATTTCGAGCACCCAGAAAATGTCGAAACAGTGTCGAACGAGGGCCCGACGCGTGAAAACCCTCAGGTTTGGGTATTTTCCTGGTGCTCGAAATTCTTCCTGGTGCTCCAGGCCAGAGTAGGTTGGAACATCATAAGCACAGCCCAGAATTTATCAACCACTGGCATCAACCGATCTGATTCGGCGGCGAGCGACGGGGGGAAGTCAGGAGGGGCGGGCCCTCTCGAAGTCCCCGGCCTTCTGAGAAGTGCTGTGAACCTTCCCCGGAGACGCAGGAAACGTCTCAGAAGGGCGCGACGGCGTCTGAGAAGTCCCGCCGCATTCTGAGACGGCCTTCTCCTTCTCACTTCACCCCCCTGGCTCGCCGCCGACTGATGCTTTCGATCCGCGGCCCTAAACATTCCCGTCGCGAACTCATGTTTGATGATCCACGGGCTCGGAAACTGCCCCCAGGGTTATGTTGCTCCCATCGTACTTGAGGACCACATCCCAAAAGTAGTTTCGAGCACCTGGAAAAGTGTCGAAAGAATGTCGAAGCAATGTCGAAACAGTGTCGGACGAGTGTCCCCCAGGGCCCGACACGTGAAGACCCTAGAGTTTCGGTACGCTTTTGGTTCTCAAAACTCTTTCTGGTGATCAAGGCTAAAGTACGTTGGAACATCATAACCCCAACGGCAGGAATCAAGGAACAAATGCCGGTTGAGCAATGATATCGTCGGAAACCTGGTCCTGCCCAACTGCAGGCACTGTGCGCGCTGTCACGCTTTGCGGGGGGGAACCGAGACGAGACGCTGGAGTGCGCGTGAGGGCGTGGCCCAATTGAGCGCGCAGCGAAGGGGGGGGTCGTGGCCACTCAAATGCCGATGCAGAATACAAAAGGTCAACCGAAATTGCCTCGCAGAGGGTCCCCAGACATGCGACGGACTGGTTTTCTCAATACGGGGTCCCTGGAAGTCCCGACCTTTTCCCCGGGACCGGTTTTCATCCTGAGTCGTTTTTGACGGCCCCGAGGCGGGGCGAAGGCTCCCCGAGGCCGAAAACTAGCAAAAACCTCCTGTCCTGATTTTTCGACGACGCGATCATGCCTGGGTCTGAAAAGAAATTTGCCTGGCGAATGGACCCAACCAGATGTAGTTGCGAGTGCCGCAATTCTGGGTATCGTATTCGGTGGAGCTCCCTATGAGGCCACGAAGCGCTGCACTGGGTGGTGGGGACGCATGCGAAGTTTGCCACTGGGGCCGTCTGTGGAGCTCCCTATGGGCCACGAAACGTTGTGCTGGGTAGGGAAACGCATGTGGACTTTGCCACTGGGGCCTTCGGTGGAGCTCTCTATGGGCCACGAAACGTTGTGCTGGGTTGGGGAGACGCATGCGGGCTTTGCCACTGGGGCCTTCGTTGGAGCTCCCTACGGGCCACGTAACGTTGTGCTGGGTGGGGGAGACGCCTGCGGACTTTGCCACTGGGGCCGTCTGTGGAGCTCCCTATGGGCCACGAAACGTTGTGCTGGGTGGGGGAGACGCATGCGGACTTTGCCACTGGGGCCGTCTGTGGAGCTCCCTATGGGCCACGAAACGTTGTGCTGGATAGGGAAATGCATGTGGACTTTGCCACTGGGGCCTTCGGTGGAGCTCTCTATGGGGCCACGATTCGGTGGGGCTCCCTATTGGGCCACGAAACGCTGTACTGGGTGTGCGGGACGCATGCGGGCGGTCCCACTGGGACCTTTGGTGGGGCTCCCTATGGGGCCACG